ATCTTAAAAATATTTAATAAAATATTTTAATCATATATTTTAATTATTTGAAACATTTTTTTTCTTTTAAAAATTATAAAAATTAACATATAAAAGTTTGAAGATTATAACTAAGACTTAAAATTTGCATAAAAGAGTTTGAAGTTTAAAAAATTAAAATTTAAATATTCTTCACAATTATATTAATAACAATAAGTAAATTTAAAAACTGAATTTTAAATATGTAATTATATAAATTTAAAGTTCAAACAATAATTATTAGAATAAAATATTTTGATTACACATAAATTAAAATAAAAGATAATAAAATACAATAGTGAATTATTATAAATCTAAACAAAGTTTAAATAGAATCAAATTCATACAAGTTCAAATAAATTGAATATAAGTGGATATAGATATTGTGAATATGAGTATTATAATATCCGTACTCTTCCCTTTAACATGAAGGCATAAAAATTATTCATATTTGTTGTCCACAAATACTTGTTTACAATATTCATTTTTTATTTATTGTAAATTTTATCCACATAGGTACAAAATTTTTTGACATCAGTAATCGCATGGCTTATACAACAAGTTGCCGACATAGCTGCCAAAACAAAATAAGACTACTTTTAGGAGACAGTCAGGGTTTTATTTGATTATTAGTTCTCAACGTAACTGGTCATCTGTTAGGGTTTTATTTACTATTGTTAAAACCTTTTGCTTTAACATTCAGCCAGTTGGAAATTCTAATGATATAATTTGATTTCTGTCTCTTTCGGTAGTGAGATTTTTGTTGCAGTAGCATCTCGTGCCATATTTCTATTTGTGTTCAATTTAGGCAGGTTCTCTTATGTTGCAGCGCAGCTTTCATATCTTTTTTTTTTTGAACAACAAAGAAATATTTTATATAATAAAATGGTACAAGAGATACCAATGTCGAATACATGTTTGCATGCGGAAGACACAACAAAGTTCGGCCTAATTTAAGTTACAAATTAGCCTCCAACTAAGAGGTCCAAAATCAACTATTTGCATACTAGATTACTCTAAAGACTCCTCAAAACCCCATCAAAGATCTTAGGAAATGATACAAAGTCCAGGATTAGCTTCCCATTGACTGAATGAATAGTTGAACGACTTATCAAAACTTGTCAGCCAAGACCATGAGTATAACACAGTTTGCTGCAGTAAACGATTCCCGTCAAGGTGCTCCCCTTCAAACACACATTTGTTCCTAGCTCTCCAGATGCACCATAATATTGCAGTCCATATAACATGTCATTGGTCAACCCTCTTTTTAGACAATAGTATATACTTGGATGAGCAAAGAAGTTGCCTTCAAATGAACTAGATAAAGGAGTCGGGCTATCCAACCACAACAACCATTTTTTCCAGATCGGGTCAGTGCTGCTGCAATATAACAATATGTGTGTTCTGCCGACTCGATATCCACATTGCAGAAGGGGCAGGTTGCTTGATCCCTCAAGACTATCACATTTCTCCTCAACAAGTTTTCCTTTGTAGGCAAAGCACCCATGAACAACCTCCAAATGAAGCATTTAACTTTGGGTGGAACTTTTATATCCCAAGCTACCGCAGCAACATTTGGCAACTGTGATGAGGAGCCACGGTCCATCAAAGCCCGATACCCAGATCTTACTGAGAAGCATCCCGAGCTATCTAGTGTCCAAAGCCTTGAGTCTATCAGTACCCTTGCGTCCACTATATTCATAAACTGTTGCACATCGTTTAATTCCCAAGTGAACCAAGCTCTTCTCCACTGAAATCTCCATTGCCACCTTCCTCTACTCCAATGACCCATATCTTTCGTTAGGAATTGTGATTTGCGAGGGAGTAGCTATATATTTGTTTAGCCAAAACTCTTATTCATATATAGTAAAGTTTGACTTAATGTGTATTGCTCAACTACCTCTACTATTCAGTGATCGATTTAGCTGAACAGGGTTGCTAGTTCGTTTGAAAAGAACCATGTTACATCCACTAAAAACCATAAATGACACACTTTTTTTCGCTTTTTTAACCAAATCAAGCAAACAAATTACCTAAAAGGTACCGGAACATGGTTGCAAATATGCACAAAAGGCGATAACAGATTAATGTTAGATTACTTGTGGATTTTTTATATAATATATATATATATATATATTAATTAATTCTAGGTTTCTTTTTTCATCCTTATTCTGTAGTTTTCCCACTCTTAGGTTTTTCCGAGACATTCAATTCTATTTAATCATTACTTTACCGCTCTTGCTTAACTAAACCCATGTTAAAATGGATCCGCTTCGCTAAATCTTTGTTATAATGAATTTATTGAATCCTTTATTGTTGAATAATAGGTTATGGTTAAGTTAACTTGAGAGAAGAAAAAAAAATACTTTTATCAAATATAATTCACGAGTCTTATAATTAATTATGATAATTTATGGCGTATTAATTAGAACTTGTATTTTGTTCTCTTAAACAATTCAATCATTTTATTTAATATGAGGATCGGTTTTAAATTTGAGTTAAAACCCTGATTTTCTAGTAGAATTCAAACTCTTGAAATAACCGACAAAAATATATACAACTACGATTGGAAGTGAAAGTTTCAAGGAGTAATCATTTTATTGCAAGATATTAGTAGCAAACTTGCAAATGTTAAAAGTGTTAAGTTGCTCATAAGAGATCCAAAAGTATATTCATGCAAAGATTGTAGAGATTACAAATGAAGGGTTAGCCAATTTCAAGGGAATTGTAATTGGCATATGGGGAAGAATATATAGTGTCTGTTCGGGTCAGTATTTGTAAATTTAATCTTTTTTAGTAAAACTAATCATAGCTTTCCCAACTCGATATGATCTACTCTCTTTGGTTCTATTTAATTTCAATTTCATGTACGAAATGTGTCTATCATATTTTCATCTACGTAATCATGAACAAGTTATTATTTGATTATTGGTTTTACACAATTATTTTGGATATTCCTTCAGCTTAAAGAAAGTAACATCGTTTTGATAAAATGATCTTTTCTGTTCAAAAAAAAAACATCGTTTTGATGATTTTTCTTTAGAAATTATTGTATATTTGGAATAATATTGTTAAGCTGTAGACATTTTGTAAGTGGCAGGTTTGATCTCGTATGATGCATTATCGGTTTCACTATAATTAGTATCATGGAATTGAAGTTGTATTAGTGTAATTCCAAACAATGGATGATGATATAGTCATATGAAGTTTGAAAGTTTTTCTTTTTTCTTTAATTTGCTAGAGCTTGTCTTTTACCAAAGGTAAAAAATTAAGTGGGCGTATGTTAATAAAAAAAATTATTTAAATGTCAAGAAATTCTTTAAAATTATATTTGACTTGAATATAAAATTGCAAAACATATATTTTAGTCAATTTAATTATCACATTTTAGAAATAGAGTTAATAAAACTGATAAATTATCAAAGTATCAAACAAATTTGAGAAATGCTAACGTTTTCATGAATAATAATTATAAATTTTATTCATTGTGACCAACAACAAAAAAAATCTCAATTTGACATATATAGGCTTAGGCTTTGTTTTGTATCAACAAAGACACTTAATATTAGATAAGAGTATAAGAGGTATCAAACTCATATACAATAAAAGAAACTCTTATGAAACTTTCAGACATAATGGGATATTTTGACCACTAAAGAAAGATAATAAAAATGTTTCACCTTGATAAACAACCGTGATCAAATCTAAATTTAATTAAATTCATGACAAACCATTTGGTACCTCACTTTTAAATACAAGTTTATTTTTATGCAACCACAAAGTTCATATAAAGGCAAATTACATAACTTCCAAAATGATTTTTACTATACTTTAACATAAGCAAACCACACAATATAGGCTTAAACTTGATAAATATGATGAGAAAAGACTTTAATATCCTTGAAATTTTTTATTATTATTTTTTAATTAATTTTCATTTCAACTTTTTTTTTTATTATATAAGTTACCTTTTTTGTGTACAAAGTCATTGTTGTTTATAAGAACTAAAAATGTTGCGAGTCACACATAAAATAATTTTTATTCATTAATTCAAAATTTTCTCATTAGTTTTTCTTATTATTAATTAACACTAAATAGTCAACATACAATTCTCATTATTAATTATTTAAATAACTTAGTAATTAACATATAATCAAGGATATAGCCATATTTTTCAAATGTTTGTTTATGTTACTCTATACTGGCTACCTTTCATTGGTTTGGAATAGTACGTTCTAAAAATATATATAACATACTGGGCAATAAAATTTCTAAAAACCTTAAAATCGCAAATAATTTTTTTCCAATTAAGACTTTTTCTTCTTAATTTATCCTATTAAACTCGTTTGCATGCATACTCTTTTCTTTTTTTTCTCAATTCTTTCCTTTTACTTATAAAATGTTTCTGGCGGCTACAGCTATAAACAAAAACACTGATTTGTTTAAATTTCAAGAAATAAAAATATCAAACTCCAAGTTCGATATCATTGACACTGTCAAAGAGAGGTAGCTACCAAATCATCCACGAAAGGTTCAAGGTAAACTCTACAGTTTCCCGATATTAATCTCTAGCAGCGAAAGAAAGAAAAAAGAATAAAAACCATGGTCATTAAACCTACATAATATTAAAATAAGAAAGATGTGTCTCTTTCCACACTCTCCCTCTTTGTAAAGGGTTACAGTCTTCATCTTCGATCACCATCAGAATTTGTCGTTCAATGTCCTCTCCTTAATTTCTGGTTCTACAATCTCAATATTTTTTCCTTTGGAGCTGACGTATCATGCTTATAAGGACACTTGGAAGCATTACGACAACCTTTTGAAGAATTAAAGAATTTGCATTGTATCTTAGATTTCGATTTTATTACCTCCTTCGGCATACTGATATTGTCACGTGGACGTTTCGAATCTCTGACATGTTGATGAATAGTACTTGTTGGTGAGTCCAGCATGTCTCGCTGAGAAGTACTGCGACTCCTAACAAGATTCCTATAATAGTCCACATCTTTGGTAACACCTTGTTTAGAAGGCACAGAAGCTGATGCAGGTGCTTTTCCCTTTAGATCTTGATGTGTAGGTGGTGGTGGAGATGTAGGCCTTGCAACTGAGTCATCAGATTCAAGCTCAGAATCTTCTTCATACTCTTCTTTCCGCAACTCAATGGGAATGAGAGAGACTTTAGGAGTTAAGCGATCATCGTAACTTTCCTCCTCGACATCAGAAGAAACGATAGGCCTACATAATAATAATAATAATAATAATAATAATAATAATAATAATAATAATAATAATAATAAATAAATTTAATGAGAAAGGAAAATGAAAGTGACACAAGGATTTCTCTGTAAATGTGACATTTTACCATGAGGGAATGGCAGAAGAACCAGGAAAAACTGTTTCAGGCACTTTCTTTTCTCTTCGCTTTTGATAATGTTTCTCCATGCTATCTTGCCCAGCAGCAACATGCAAATCCTTATTCAAAGCAATCTATGTTCAAAGTAAGTAATAAATTAATAAACCTGATCACATAATATAAAACCAACCAACTAAACAGAACATAAAAGAAACAGGTTGGTGAAAATATGAAAGAAAAATATAAACAATGAAAAGCTCTTAAAACAGATATTGAAAAGTAATTAAGTTGTAATTAATATACAGTACAGAAATAATGAAAATCCAACATTTTTAATAAATTTCAAATATATCTCATTACCAAAGGAGGGCATTCCCATTTAATACGAGGAATGTGAGGAAAAACAGCTTTCGATTGATTTTGCAAATGTTTGCCTTCAAAACCAGGTGGTATATCATCATATTCATCAGTGGTAGTTGAAGGCGATTGTTTTTGTAAATGTTTGCCTTCAAAACCTGGTGGTGGCTCATCATCATATGGCCATTTTGACAATGTCTTCTTTCCTTGGAGTTTGCTGCCAACTTTTGAAGGGCAATCGTCGGGTAAGAAGAATTTTACCTGTTAAAGGGTCACACTAAGATCAACTTTCAAAAATAAAAGGGTATATCAGCCTGTAAGCAGTAGCACAATGCAAGCAGGAAACACTTTAGCAATAGCATACTACAGTCGACAAATTGAGTATAAAAACAGAAGAAGAAAAAACTGCGAAATAATTTGATACATGCATCGATTATTTCTTGTTTATGGATAAATTGAACAACCTCATAGTTTTTACTCGCAAAATTTCACAAAAGTAAATGGTTCAGCTATAATTGCACTACTGTGAATGTAAAACCTTATAAGAGGTAACAAGATTATAAACATGTCCCAGAAAAGGTTTTCATGTCATTTCAAACAACGGTACAAAATACTCGGATCATAGTTTATGCAGCATTTGTTCTTGTTATTTTTACTATGTTCGTTTCCTACTATTATGGTATTGTGTTATTCATGAACTATCTTTTTTTTCTTTCTTTTTTTTAATGTATAGCCATTTAGAAAGTTTGTTGAATTATTAGTTCTAAAATTTACAGTACTTTGTAGGAAATATTTTCTTAATAATTGCCCAAATAAAAATTAATTTATATTGGCAATATTGCATGGCTAACATTTTAACCAAAGCCTATTCCAAATGGTTAAGAACTTGATTCCTCTTAAAAGTGTTGAATTTAAATTTCATTCCCATCAAATAATTGACTGAATTCCACAATTACTCATAATCTAATACAATTTTGGGAGATATAAACATAGAAAGTGACTTAATTTTATAATGTCACGTGTCGCAATTTTTAACTTTTGGTAAGAAATTCACTTTTTAATAACTTCTTATGTATTTTAATTAGTAAACACTGGTTTCTAAATCAAACAAAACTGATACAATTTATTGTCAAAGCAAAAAAAAAATGTTTAAAGGAATTTCAAGTCAAATACAATGAGAAACAAGTCTTTTTTACGTGTAATCGCTTTTACTTTGAGATAAAAGTCATCGGTATGAAAACTATACAACCCCCAAACCTGTCAAGTGTCAACCCCATGATTCACCTTGTATACTCATTTCTAAAATAGTGGATGCAATTAAAAGAAAATAATTTTTTTTAGAGATAAAAGCAAATAGTGTATTCGCATGCATATGGTATAAAACATTTTAAACTTTGATGAAAATTTAGATAATTTACATAAAATCTTAAATGCTAACTTCACAATTCTTATTGTAAAAAAAAAAGTAGTATAGTATTTTTTACACAATACATAAAAAATTAAACTCAATAAATAAATTGTTTTTTTTTTTTTTTGTGAAATACAAAAGGCATTAATATCGAAAATGACTATAAAAAAAGTTAAACTTTGATGAAAATTTAAATAATTTACATAAAATCTTAAATGCTAGCTTCATTGTTGTTATTGTAAAAAAATATAGGTACCGACGATTAATATCGAAAACGACTAGCAAAATATAAAAATTAATTATGTTTAATCATTTGCAATAAAATAAACAGGTACCGACGATTTTTTTTTTTGGGGTACAAACAGATATTTACAGGATCATGGTAGCTCTGAAAAAATGGTATTCAAGGTCTAGAAACTATGAGAAATGAAGGTTTCAGACTTTCGGTCATGCTTAGAAAGTTAAATTTGACAATTGATAGGTTGTGTTATCAATGAATCCCTTTGAATCGGTAGTTAATTCATTTACTCACCGATTGAGAAGATCGAATGACTATCCAGAGATATCAAAGTTGCATCAATTTTAAGTTAAAAGTTTCACCAATTTAATATTATTATTGATCAACATAGAGGATTATTTATGAATATATTAATTCAGTGCGTAAAAATAAATCAGCAATTAATAAACTTAACAATATCATTATTTTTTATTTTTCACTTTAAGTTCTTCTTTTTTTTTTTTACTTTTAATTTTGGGCATTGAAACCCTGTTTCTGCCGCAGCTTCAAAGGGATCAGAGAGTTTACAACAAAAAAAAAGGACCCGAGTTACAACAGATTCAAGGGAATGGGGTTTTGTTTTCGTCAACTAATTAAAACAAGGCAAAAAAGAATTTGAAAAAAATCGAACTTGAAGCGAGTATACTAAGAAAAAAATGAAAATATAAATTTTGCTCCAATTAATCAATGATGTTGAAAGAATGTGACATTTATACCTGGCGTAGATTAGATCCAGAAGCCCACGAAACCCTCTTGAATTTTCTCGAACTTGAACGCTTCATATTGAATCCCAGATTTTCCAGTACCTATATTCTCTTAAATTAAAAAAAAAAAGGAAAATTGGATCAGAGAAAGAGGTGTTCAAATATCCTAATGAAGAAGCAAAAATCAAAGAAAATAATATTTGTGTGTGCGGCAAAGTTGATAAAGATGAGATGGTATAAAAACCCTAGAGTAGGAGTAGCGGTGGAAGAAGTAGAATAAGGTGAGATAATGGTAGTTGCTAGTTACGTACCCTTTAGTCAACAAAGGAAATTAAACCTCAAGTGTGGGGCCCACATGGGTTGTATTGTACTCCTGTGTGACAGCGTATACGAAGCCAAACAGTGTCTGAAAATGATAAAAATTAGTGGTGTTTCGGAGAGTCCAAGTAGTTCTGTTTCTGAAAACCAAGTTGTCCAACTCAGTACAGTTTTAAGGTTTATGATAGTACTACTGACAGTGGCTCATTTCTCCATGTTAATTTAAAAAGTCGTCATAAAAAAATTTACCATGAATGTTCATAGTAATATAAGTTTTTTAATATTAATTTTTGTTATTTTACTAACTTCTTTAGGTTAAAATTTAGTAAGAAAATTTAATAAAAAAAATTCCCGTTGATCCTTTTTCTCATTTTTTTCTTTATTCTTTATCTTCAACATTATCATCCAACTATTAATAATGGCATTGGTGTACGTAAAAAAATTAATAATGGCATTTAATAGTCAGTAATTATTTTGTCTTTCTCTTATTGAAATTAATGATCATTAATTCCTTTTCAAGCATTGAATTGAATTTATTTTTAATCTCTATTCCCTCTGTTTTTTTTTTATGTTTAAGATTATGTATAAAAATTAAGAAAATAATTGATATTTTAGTTTTTTAAAATATTTATTATTTATTTTATGTTATAGTCTTTAGATGGTTAGAGAAGAAATAGGTATACTGAAAAATAAATAAACACATTGTTTAGTAAATATACATTAAATATTAAGGATAAAAATGTAAAAAAAAAATTAATAAGTCATTGATTTTAGAAAAGTGACAATGAAAAAATAACAAAAAAATAATATCAAAACGATTATGAATAAAAAACGAAGAGAATATAATTTTACAAATGTGAAATTTTAATTTTTAAAAAATATTATAAATTTGGCCATTTTCAAAATTACACAATAAATGTCTATTCATTAACATGTAAGAAAAATTAAATTAAACAATAAATATTAATGTGTTTATAAATAACAATATTAAATAGTTATTTGTTCACTTTCATATATTAAACAGTTTTTTATTATAAATATGTTATTTTTTATTTTAATTAAAATTTATAATATAAAAAACATTTTTAATGTTTAATACTACTATTTTCTTTCGTTATTAACAATCTGTTAAAGTTAAACACTTTCATTTACATATGAAAACTAAATTTGTCATAAAAAAAATTTTGATAGATTAAAATTATACAATTACAGAATTATAGGAGCAAAAATGAATTAAAAAAAATGTTAATTTGACACACAAATTGATATGTATATTAGATTTATAATTTTATTTTGTTTATTATTTTAATAAATTAGTTTTAATTTAGTTATATATTTATATTTTTTTAATGAATAAATGACAATGAACTAAATATATTTTAAAATCTTATAATGAATATTATTTAGTAATATTAAGTTGAACATTTTAAATTATATATTTTAATATAATAGAAGAGTGATAGTATAATACTCAAATTTTTAAGGAATAAAAAGATAATTTAAATTATATATTTTAACATATGACAAAAAAATATGTAATGTTACCTTTATCTTAATTATAAGTAACAATTTGTAATTTTTTTTAGTCATTATTATAATTAAGTAAGTAATAATTATTAATTTTTCAATTTATTAAGAGTTAAAATTCTTTTATACCCTTCATTTATTGTTAATTCTATTTTATATGCATTCACTTGTAACTAATATTAAATATAGGAAAATGATTCAAACTCCGAAAGTGTGTGTCGAAATCATTCCGAATCATTAAAATAATAATTTAAATTATAAAATATTAAATTAAATAATTATTTTATAATAAATTTATTAAAAAATATTAATATTTTAAAGTTTCAAACGATATTTCGGACAATTATTTCAGAGGATGTAGCATGACTCTTAAATATAACAATCACTTAAAATAATAGGTATATTTAAATTAAATTTGAATTTATGATAAAATTCATTGAAAATAATCATATATTAATTATTTTTATTGATGATGATTTGTCATATATTACTTATAATTACACCCGAAGGTAATATTTATATCTCAAAAGAAAGAAGTGTAGTTTATGTTAATAATATTAAGTTAAATAAATTAAATTATATGTTTTAATATAAAATAAAAAAAGATAAAGTAATTCTCTTATCTCTCGTAGGAGAATAAATTAATAGAATTGACATTAATTATTGGACATATTTTATGTTATTGTTTCATATTTTTTATTTTAACAAATCATTTTATGTTCATAATTATTGTTTTCCTAAAGTATAAACATACTTTTTTAATTTCTAAACAATTAACTCGGGTTTCTAATTTATTTTTATAATTTTTTTTATTGTTATCATTGTTAAAGTATAAACTTGATTTTATGTATTATTTGTCTAAATAAAGGTTCAGTTTCTAGAAAAATGTTAAGTTCAAGTTTTAGAAGTATATAGTTCAAGAATCTCTTTAGATAATTCTAAAGTAGCATATAAAGTTAGTCAAAATAATCATTTCTACAATCATTAGATTAAAATTGTGTTGATAAAATTATAATAATTTATTTAATAAAAATTAGTATAAATATGATTAGTGATGTTTTAGAGTTTGTATTAAACCAAAAATTAAGAAGTAATCAATTATAAATATAATCTCTTCTTCTAAAATTTTTAATCTTTATCATCCGCAAATATTTGTCCACTAATAAAATGTTATTCCAATAATAATTATTATTATTATTATTATTATTTAAACCTTATTTCACCTTACAATATTTTTTTTATCAGCGTATTGTACATTTAAAATTATATTTTATTCCAATATTAAATCGTTATAACTATATTATTTGTCAAAAAAAAATTCAAATTAATTATCCAATTTTACACCAACTAATAAAGTAATCAGAATTAACAAAAAATAAAAATAAAAAAGATAAATCTGAACAATGTTATAAAGAAATTTGAGATCTAAATACTAATTTTTTTTGACAACGAAAATAATAATAATAATAATTTTCATTTGATGTAGCTCGCTTAAAAAATTTCTTCATTAATTTGACTTTGCGGCATGATCAATCATCTAATGAGAAAAGAATTTTGTATCCAATTTTATTTTCTCTTTATTATAATCTTCACTTCAAGTCCTTAATTTTCTTTATGGAAATTATTGTTCTATGTACAAAGCCATTCTTGTTTGTATGAATATTACACCTCACGTATAAACAAATTTTCTTCATCGATTCAAAATTTTCTAATTTTTTTCTTAATTGTTTCTTACACCGGCTTGATAACTAACATACAATTCTTATTTCCTATTAGTCATTTCTTAAACTACTTTGTAAGTAACAATACACAATCAAATAACCGTATATTTAAATTAGATAATATTTTATAATATATATTTCAAAATAAATAAAATTATTATAAATATAATAGTATATTATACCAAAAATATTATTTATTAAATAAAAAATATTTATAGAAAATACATTTTAAAATATATATAAAACAACTAACCAAATTGAGACGAGTCAAAAAAGAAAAAAAAAAACTGAACTAGTTATCAAAATGTATAAGCTCAAATATGTGAAAATCAACAATGAAATTAGTGAAACGAGTTGCATTATATTCTTATCTGCTCCATAAATATAATACCATACACAAAAACTTAATTATTGAAAGAATCTGTAAAAATACGGAATATTTTTAATCAAGAATTTTACTTCTTTTCCAGATGAACCCATTTGCTTGTATAGTTCTTTTAATTGTTTCCTTTTAATTTATAAAAAAGTTATGGGTGAAAACCAACTGTACCCACGAGAACACATATTCATTAAAAAATAATTTAAAAATAAAAAATCTTTCAATCTCATCGACGCTGTCGAAGAACTATATATCAAATGATCCACCGAAGATCTAAGGTAACTTTACTGGATTAGTTTTCCAATATTAGTCTAAAACAACATCATGAAAGATGGAAACAAAAATAAGGTAAACCAATAAAAATACCAGAATGAAAAATGTTTCTCATTCCTAACTCTCTAACTGTCTCGCTCCCTTTTGTCATTACAATGTACGAGGGATTATAGTACTCAGTACTCACCATCAGAAGATCGATGCAGTTTAAGATTACATCCTCCACGTAACCTCTTTTTTGACTTTTGATCTTTTAGCATTATCAGCTTCCCGCTGAACTGACTCATCATGCTGGTAAAGACAATCAGAACCTTTACGGCAACCCTTTGAGGTTTTAAAGAATTTGCATCGTATCTGATCTTTGGATTTCACTTTCCTCGATTCGATGGCTTTCTTAGATGGCAGTCTCGAATCTCGACAAATTCTGGTTCCTGAGTCCTTCACGTCTGGCTTATCAGTATCATGTTTTCTAACAAGACTTTTGCCATGTTTGACATCTTTCTCAGCACTTGGTTGAGAATGTACTGAGCTTACAGCTGCATGCATGTTTGAGGAAGCAGAAGGCACTGTCACTTTGTTCAGTTTTCCTGTTGCAGCAGAAGCCAATGGTGTTTTTTCCTTTTTCCCTCGCTGTGGAGAGTGGATATTTAAAGAGGGCATGATTTCATTTGGTGCGTGAGGAACAGATAGTTGAGCCCTAGACAAAGAAACAGGCGGAGGAGGAGGAGGAGGAGGAGTTGCAGGCTCATGAAGTGCAGATGTCAACAGTGAAACAGTTGTGGTTGTGGATGTAGACTCAGAAGCTTCAATTGCAAGGGTAGGTGAAGGCAATGGAGTTGATGAAGTATCAGGTTTAGGTATACTTGCATCATTTGAGGGTGTACTGGTAGTGTCAGAAGAAGCAGTTCTATATTGGTCAATTATTTTTTCAATTATTATGGGGTCATTGACCATATTAAGGAGTGAATCTGCATCTATCATGCTTTCTTGCTCATTGCTTTTCATGATGGCAGCTACAATGGCAGTAGCTGCAACAAAATCTGCCCCTGGATAAGACAAGGCAAGTACTGAATTTTCACCGCTTTGTAAATTAAGGAGAGATGATGTTGAGGGTACATAATGTTGCAAACTGTGTGACTCTTCAATGTCATTGTTGACATGTTCTACTGACTCTTCTTCTTCAATGGGAATAAGAGGAGTAATGCTATCATCGTAGCTTTCCTTCTCCGCATCAACAGAAACGAAAGGGCTGCACAAAAAAAAAAAAACTAAATTTAGTAAGAAAGGAAAATGAAGTACACAAACCTGGCTTTCTCGATAAATGTTTCACTTTACTTTGGAGGAATGGCATAAATAGAAGGATAAAATGCTTCCAGCTCATTCAATTCTCTTTGTTTTTGATCATTTTTCTCTGTACTTTCTTCACCAGCTGCAACGAGCCAACTATCTCTCAAAACAAACTGTATTCAATGTATTTAAAGAACGTCATGAAATAATATAAAACCAATCAACTATACAAAATATAAAAGAAACATAAGAGAATAAAACAGAAAGAAAAATATAAACCATGGAAAGCTCTTAAAACAAATAATATTGCAAAGAAAAGTTAACTTATAATTAATATATAATAGAGAAATAATGGAGATCAAAGATCGTTTCATGAATTTCTAATATCTCATTACCGAAGAAGGACATTTCCATTTAATCGGAGAAATATGTTCAGCCTTTGATTGATTATGTAAATGTTTGCCTCCAAAACCAGGCGGCAAAACATCATATTTATCAGTGGTTGAAGGCGATGCTGACATTGTCGTTGTCTTTTCTTGGAGAGGATGTAGAGATTTCTCACCAACTTGTGAAGGGCAATTCTCAAGTAACTTTATCTGCTAAGGTGTTGAGAAACAAATTGAAAGTGAAGTGTGTAAAACACTTCAACAATACTAGCACCATCATTTGACACAAATGTCAGAAAAACAATTGTCAAATTGGATATGACAGAAAAAGTGCAAAAATAATTTGATACATCAATTATTTCTCTTGTTTGTGAATAAATTGAAAATTCATACACAACACCAATGATAATTATTCAACGACTATAAATTAATTATTAATTTTATAAAAATATTAATGACTAATAAATAATAATAATTAAAAATATATTTATAAGAGTAGTTATTAAAAATAACTAATAAAAAAATTAGAATAATTTTGATTTATTTTATTAAAAAAATTAATTGTTACATCAAATAAAAATAAAATAATTAAAAAGTATATAAACACAAAACAATTTTCACCTTATAAATTAATTTTGTAGAGTTAAGTTATATCCATAATTCACTATTCTAAAATGATATAAGAGATATTTTAGACTCACTCTAAAAATGATCACTTACAATTGATATATACACTAGGTCTAATATTGGTCATGAAGAGGTATATTGGAAGGAAAAAAATTCAAGTTTCACCTATTCTAAGTCATTAAAAAGAATTATCCACAATTTATTCATGTATCAAACTCAATAGTGTTAGACATGATGAGATGTATCAAAAAAAGAAAAACTAAAGTCTCATATCAACTAAAAATAAAAAAAAATAAAAAAGTATATGAAAGTAGGACATAAAAGTTAGGAATCATTTCTTAAATTTTTAGTGATAATAATAAAAAAGATCAATAAATAGATTAAATATTTAAAAACTAATATTAGTGATCATTATAAATTAATGTCAATAAAAGGTGATTTGAAAACTTCTTTTTAGTTATTATAAAAAAATTTACTAATATGTAAAATAGTTGTTGATAAATATTTTAGCTAATATAAAAATGTTAGTAAAATATTTTGTAACTATTTTTATTATCACTAAAAATAATATTAACTACTACTAAAAAAAAAAATTTGTTGTAGTAATGATTTTATACATGTGAAAATTCACAAAGTAATAGCTCATTATGGTTCTGTTACAATCCCACATTCCCATGCACTATAGTGAATATAAACATTACAAGAGGTAACAAGCTTTGAGGATGAAACGATCTGAACGTTTGTTGTATTAGTTCAAAAACTTACACTTTGTAAGGCATATGTATTTCTTTTATACTTAGCACAAAAAATTTATTTATATTGCATGCAATATTGTTTTACTAGCATTTTAACCAATGCCTGCTCCAAAATGGTTATGAACTTGATTTCTCTTAAAAGTGGAATAAAAATACAAGTCCTATAAATTTGCTGAATCCAATTACTTACATGTAATCTACTATTATTTTGAGATATAAAGACTGAAAGTGACTAAATTTTATAATTTCAGACACATGACGCAATTTTTTTATTTTGGTAAGAAATACACTTTTTAATAACTTCTCTTGTATTTTAATAAACACTGTTTTATAAATCAAATAGAATTCATGATTTCTTATACAATTTATTGTCAAAGCAAATAAATTCGCCGCAGGAGAATCGCGTCAAATACAAAGAGACTTTAAAGCAAGTATTTTATTAAATTTTATTGCTTAGAGATAAAAATCATCACCCTAAATCAGTAAATCATCACTCTGAAAAGTAGATCATACCAAAATTAGTCAACCCCGCGCGTGAATCGTGATTCACACACACACACAATTAAAAGAGAAAAAAAATGAATAAATAGATACATTAATTGTATTAAAATTTTAAACTTAGAGTCAACCTAGTGAAGTGATAAATGTTTAGATGTTTTATTCAAATCCTAAATTCTAATTTCAAGATCATTACCATTCATAATATTGAGTTGCAACGTAATTTCAAGCAACACTGCTGGGACAAGGTAACTTGTGTGCATGAAAAGCTTATCTTTAAAACGATTAGCAAATATTTCTTATATACAGATATTATTTAACTAAAATAAATTTTAAATATAAATTAAAATAATTAAACTTAATTGTATTTTTATCCTTAATATATTATAATTATACAATTTTAGTCTCTAAAATTTTAATTAAACAATTTTAGTCTCTCCAGTATTATAATTATACAATTTTTATTTCTCAAATTTTAATTAAGTAATTTTAATCATACAAATATCACAATTATATAATTTTTGACCTATTTAAGTTACATACATTGTAATTTACATTCATGTATTAAATGATATTTATTTATTATCTCTAAAATTATCAATGTAAGTAACTTAAATAATTAAAATATTTATATAATTATAATACTTGAAAAACTAAAATCACACAATATTAATATTTGAAAGATTAAACTTATTTAATTAAAAATTAAAAAACAAAATTATATAACTATAATATTTAAAAGATTAAAATTATTTAATTAGAATTTAAAAGATTAAAATTATACAATTGCTATACTTAAGAGTTAAAAATACATTTAAATCAAATAACTAAAGTACACAAATACGTAGATGATTAATTTAAATAAACAATATAAATGAATGAAAAGTCATAAAAGATATCCTCATCTTAAGAGAAAAATTTTATAAATAAAATTTAAAAATAAAAAGATGTGCATAATTAAAAGGTATCCTCATCTTAAGAGAAAAAGTCTAAAAGTGACTAGTATTTTCCGCACTTTTACGAGTGGGCAAAGGATAAAATAATCGAGAAAGAAATTTTATATAATAAAAATGTTTTAAAATTATTGATATTTATTAAATTAAATGGTATTTTAATTATTCTCAAATTTTATGACCTTAAATTTGAATTTTATATTTATAAGGATAATTAATTTTTAATATTATTTAAAATTTTAAAAATAAAATTACCTATAAATAAAAAATGTGTACAGTACATCACTTTATGACTTTTATATATGTTACGTTATAAATACCATTCAGATTATAAAGTCTATCAGTTTTTCCCTTATCATCTATGACCACATATATTGAATTGCAATCATGAAGGGCTACTGTCATTTGCAATTTAAACTGTTTATGGTTTTATAACCCTGAAGCTGAACTGAAAATGGTATTCAAGGTCTAAAAATCTAAGATTTAAGGTTTCAGACTATCAGTAATGTTTATGAAATTAAATCTGACCATTGACAGGTTATAATGTTGTATCATCAACGGATCCTTTTGGATAGCACTGAATTCATTTGCTCACTTCAGAAGAATGATTATCCTGAGATATCAAAGTTACTAATTCGTGATACAACATTACATTAAATTTTATGTTAAAATTTTCACCAACTAATATTATAATTGGTCAGCACAGAGAGTTATTTACGAAATTATTAATTCAGTAAAAATAAATAAACAGTTAATAAACTTAACAATATCACTATTATTTTTATTTTCCACATTAAGTACCCTTTTCTTTTTTACTTTTAATATTTGGCATCGAATCCCTATTTTACAGTTGCAAAGGATTTATGTTATATGGATGAAAAAAATTGTAAATAGAAAGTAAAAATTAAAGTGATAAATCAGTAAAACTCGTGAATAATTAGTATTCATAATATAGATATGAAAAAAAAAAATATAGTCACAGAGTAAGGGAAAAGGGGGTTTTGTTTTTGTTAACTAATCAAAAACAACACAATTTTTTTTTTAAAAGGAATCGAACTTAAACTATGTAGAGACTAAGAAAAAAACGAAAATATAAATTTTGCTTAAACATTAATGGTGATGAGAGAATGTGACATTTATACCTGACATAGATTAGATCCAGAAGCCCACGAAACCTTGTTGAATTTCCTTTTCATATCAGATCAGATTTTCCAGCTCTTATATTCATTCTCTTGAATCAAAAAGAGAAAATCAAATTCTAGAAGGTGTTCAAAAATCTTAATCAGTAAGTAATGGGAGTATATCTTACGAAAACATATGAGAAATTTAAACCCTTTTTGAATGCCACAGAAGAAAAAGTAGAAGCGTTGGTTACGGTTACCAAGCGTTTAGTTATGAGTGTTGACACAAAAAAGATCTTAAGTGTGGGGTCTGCAAGTTGTATGTGACAGCACATACACATCAGAAAGGTCTCTAAAGAGTGATGCGAAAACTAGTGACGTTTCAGGGAGTCTAGAGCTTATATAGTTTCCTAGCTTGTATATAAACAAAGTTGTATTCAGTTTGTCCAATTACAGTTTTAATATTTGAGATTTTTTTTAAAATAATTGATATTTTCATTTTTTAATACTAATGTTAAATTTTTTTTAAATTTTTGACCCTCACAATTTAAAAGTAATGTATTTATTAAGAGTGATTAAGACTATTTGATTATATTTGAATAAAAAAAAAGTAATGTATTTATTAAGAATGTATTTTAGTAAAATTATATTTTAAAAAAATACATTTATTATTATTTTTAATTTACATATAAAAAATCTTCAATTACAATTATTTTGAGATAGAGGAAATAAAATTCTACTCTTTTTCTTTAAAAAAAAATAGTTCTTTTAATTTTTAATTTTTTAATTCATTAAAATTACAATGACAACATTAAAAATTTGAACTCTATTTTTATTTTAGTTTATTTTTATTTTAGTTTTTATTGTTTTAGAACTTTTGTACTTTTAACATTCTAATGTATCTTTATACTATCTCTATTCTTATTTATAAAATCAAACTTTGAATAATTATTTTTTCTTTTATATCGGTTAAAAAAAATTTCTTTATATAAAACTCAATTCATATTGTTATGTATATTAATTATTTTAGGACTAGAATATCTCTAATTAAAATTTTATTAATTTAATAAAATATATTAATTATAAACTTTTTAAAAGTATGCATTCTAATTGGTTACCAGAATGATGAGTATTAATTAGAAGAGAGAAATATTATAGAGTATTCACTCTAATAGATTAGA